ACGATACACTGAGGCACCCACCGGCCCGGCAGCTCTTCGTCCCAGTGCCTGTCCGTGCCTCTCTCTCCCCCCCACCCCATCCCCTCACTCACTCTCTCTCTCTCTCTCTCTCTCTCTCTCTCTCTCTCTCTCTCTCTCTCTCTCTCTCTCTCTCTCTCTCTCTCTCTCTCTCTCTCTCTCTCTCCTCATCCCCCTTTACATTAAGATCAGACTTTCTCACTACCATCGTTTCTTCTCTCTTTTCCTTTACCTTTATTCCTGGCTCCCCCCTCCCCTCTCTCTTTCTTTCACTCTCACTCTTACTCTCATTCGCTCTTCCTCACCCTTACCCTCTCACTCCATTTCTCTCCCTGACCCTTTCACTCCCTCTCTCCCTCACCTCTCTCTCTTTCTCTTTCTCTTTCTCTTTCTCTTTCTTTCTCTCTTCCTCTTTCTTTCTCTCTTCCTCTTTCTCTCTCCCATTCCCTTTCCCTCTCTCTTTCCCTCTCCCTCTCTCTTTCCCTCTCCCTCTCTCTTTCCCTCTCCCTCTCTCTTTCCCTCTCCCTCTCTCTTTCCCTCCCCCTCTCTCTTTCCACTCTTTCCCTCCCCCTCTCTCTTTCCGCTCTTTCCCTCCCCCTCTCTCTTTCCACTCTTTCCCTCTCCCTTTCCCTTTCCCTCTCCCATTCCCTTTCACTCTCCCCTTTCTTTTTCACTCTCCCTTTCCCTTTCTTTTTCACTCTCCCTTTCCCTTTCCCTTTCCCTTTCACTCTCCCCTCTCTTTTTCACTCTCCCTTTCCCTTTCACTCTCCCCTTTCTTTTTCACTCTCCCTTTCCCTTTCCCTTTCACTCTCCCCTTTCTTTTTCACTCTCCCTTTCCCTTTCCCTTTCCCTCTCCCTTTCCCTTTCACTCTCCCCTCTCTTTTTCACTCTCCCTTTCCCTTTCACTCTCCCCTTTCTTTTTCACTCTCCCTTTCCCTTTCCCTCTGCCTCCCTTTCACTGAAAGATTAGCACCACCGAGTGTAAAGGATAAGCAAAGTGCCAACCAGGGAGTGCCATCACATAGAAACACAAACCGACTGGCACTGGCAACGGTCGCAGGAAAGACACGGGTAAGGAAGCTCGTTGGTTAAGGCAAGAGGATATGTTAGTAATAAAAGGCAACAGGCGGCAAAATAAAAAGAAAGAGAGGACGAAGGGGGAAAGGATAAAGGAGGAAGATGGGAAAGATAAGGAGAGATAAGCAATTCATAATCGAGACGGAGAGGAGAGAAAGGACGAACTGAAGGAATCGCGACATGGGGAGGTGAAAACACTTCGACGAGGAGTGATTGAGAGGAAGGTGCGAAGAGGAGGAATGGACAGAGTGAGGGAGAGAAAGAGGGGAGTTAGATTGGATGCCGACGAAAACGATCCTGCCAAATTCCGGCTCTGCACGCGCTGTGGTCACATAGCCTACGCGCACATTGACACACATGCACAGATACAGTTTACATATCCACGTACACATACACGCAAAAGCAAGCAAACAAAAAAACAATCACTTAATCAATCAAACAAACGCACACAACGACCCAACTTTGAATATAAATATAAGGCCACTCAATAACACACGTAATTACACATATGAACGCAATCACACACGTGTAATGAGGTTATTTGAATGCCATAGAATCCATTTTGCTTCGCCATTAAGGTGTCCCCGCGAAATGATCTTCGTCGGGTCTTCTCGTAATTGGATCTTCCGTCATGTAACCCCTTCTTCCTTCGTCTCTCCTTCCCTCACTCTCGCTCCCTCCACCCCTCTCCAGTTTCCCCGTCTTCTGGCACTTTTTTTTTTTTTTTTACTCTATTTAATCCCCTTTCCCTGTCCCTCTTTTTTTCCCTCCTCTTCTTTCCACTCTTCACCTCATCTTTCTCCGTCCTCCCCCTCCAACGTTCGCCTCCAACACCTGGTCACGCGGGTCCTTCGAGCGAGCTGTCCATCACAAGAGCGGCTCATCCGGCGCCCTGCTCGCCCTTCGTGGAACTCCGTGCCACCCGTCATCACCCTCCTTGTTCTCGTCACTCTTACCCTATTCCCGAATTTTCAACTCCTTAAAACAATTTGCCTTCAACAACCAAACCGATCATAACAGTGCAATCGTCTTATTAGTCTTTTGTCTAAAGAACTACTCCTCATCCTTATGATCTATCTTTATCTTTCCCCTTCTTCTTCGTCCTCCGCTCTTGCCTTCGCTCTTCCAGCCCCCGAAAACCTCCTACCATCCTTTCCCCTCTCCCCCTCACAGCATGCCAGCACCCTTCCCTTCCTCTCCCTCCCCGTCACAACCGCTCTTCTTTCCCCTCATCCTCGTCACAACCTTCTATTGCCAACCCCAACCCCCCCACCGTCACGACTTTCCATCACTCCCCTCCCGTCACAGACGTCCTTCTTTTCCTTCGCCCTTCGCCCCCCCCCCCCCCTTCGCACAACATCCCATCCATCACACCTCTCCCGTCACAACTTCGCATCACCCCCAC